AATGAGAATCAAATCAAAATAGGATTACAGATCTACATGCTGAAAAAGATCAAGTTTAATTTTCTAAAATCTTCGTTTTTTGATATGTTAGTAAAGTCATTCTTTTCCTAAGATAACAGATTCCAATATTAGTTGGGTTGACATTCAGTCCTAGATCAATTAAGACAAGTAACACTCGGTTTCCAACGCAACATTGAAAGGACATTTCATTTAGAATAGAAGGACAACCTCACATTTGAATTTTGCATGAGAAGTATGCCCCTTGAATATGTTATTAACAGCAGGAAAATAAAGAAAAGGAGACAATTAACGGGACATTATACCAACACCTATTATTGTGGTGTCCGCTGGTTTATGATCTATGGACTTCCATTTATGCAATGCTGGGAATCAAATGGGTTATAACAGGGTCCGTTAAGGACGAATTGTGGGCATGGGCTAGATTGTGTTAAAAAATATATATATTTCATGCTGATTCCATTATCACTAATGCGGGTTATGTGAAAAGAGAGAAATTTGAGAACTTTTGATGGGATAGAAAATAACTTTAATAGCATTAAGGATAGATGGTTTCATTCTTTTGTTTTCTTATTCTTGGGACATGATATGCAAGACCTAGAGGATTTGGGGATGGTTTTATCTCATTTGATTAAGCTGTAAATTTCGTATAATGGGCGATACCCCCTTGGTACCTTTGAAATGTTATCTCTTTTTTATTTCAAAAAAAAAAAACAAATAGCTTGCAGAACACCAAGAGAACTTACATCTAGAACGTATTCACAGCTTGAGAGTAAAAGCTCACTTACATTGTTAGCATTGCAGAGATCGAGTAATGGTTCAAGCATGGCCTCCAACTGAAGCATCCCATTGCTAATCTGTATTACAGGAAGAAATGAAGGGGAAAACAATTGTATAAAATCCTGGTAATACAAGTGAACTAAATATGCAAGGGAAACTCCCAGGAGGAATTTGGTTACTGTAAACTAATGAGATAAATCAAGGGCATTAAACGGAAGAAAAACGATCCTCGTAAAATAAGATAAAGCCCTCAACATATGAAAACTTGATGCGAAAGCATATATACCAAAATACAAATTATGCAAAAAAAGTCTTGTGAATACACAAGAAACATATGCTAAAAATGGAAATAGAGCTAATAGAAATATAGGGGGCTTAGACTAATAAGACATATTCAAAATAAATCACGACAAAAAAATTTACTTTACATCATGATGATCCAAACGCTGCATGAATTGCAGCCCGAGAGGCTTGATCATTCAAAAATCAATCACCGCTTTGAAGAACGTTATTTTGATCATACAACCACCTGAGTTTTTTATTTTACATGTTTCTTAACATATAAAATTAATCAAATCTGGGACTTTAAAATCAAGGCCTTGCCTGGGGGTTAGCCAGGAAATATTGCATTAAACTAATTGTCTTCCTAACCATTTAAATTGCAGTGGTACAAAATAACACCTGAAGCAAAAGATAGCAGAGTACCTTCATTACCACACAGAAGAAATTAGATGCTTTTGCAGCTTCAGATGCATGCTCCTTTTCCAAAGAGTTCTCAACTGCCAAAGTGTCTACTGCTTTTAAAGATGTACTCAACCTTGCATATCCAAAAAGGATATTAAAATCGGTTGGACAATCAACAAGCAACTTGGAAATCAGAGTCCTTCCTGTATTTTGGTCCCTTATCAAGCTCCAAATACCCTGCAACTTAGTTGAGAGATCAAGACGAACAGGTAGGTCTGTCTGAACTCCAATTTCCTGGCAACTTGAATTGTCTAAAATGGAATCAAGGCAAGAACAGAAACATAAACAAATAAATAGTCTTGAAAAAAAAAAGGCATTAGTTTTGAAGAACTTAAACTCATTTTTCACCTTTATGAATCCATGTACAAAGCTGATTATCTGAACCTTTAAGATTCGGACATTCTTGTTGAAGCTTGTCATAACCTTTAACATTCTGACATTCTAGTTGAAGCTTCTCATGGACAGCAGTAGGTGCACATTCCCTACGTTATTCACAATTTTTTGCATCTTAATTCACGTTAGAAAAGAAGAATTAGAAAAATTAGAACTTTTATCTGTATTACAGAATGATAGGGTGTTACTCATATGGTCATTTTCCTATCCTTAGTTCTGGAATCTTCTCATAGATTTCCCTATAAATACCATGTACTATTTCTTTAGCATAACAGTAACAGCAACCCATAGCAATCTTCCAGTCTGTTCTTTTACATGGAAGCAAAGTAAGAATACTAGGATATCAAAGTTTTTCGAGTCTTCAGCATCTCTGGCTCGTATCCCTTCATTACCCTTCATAACCATGAAAGAATAATAAAAGAAATTCAGCAATCAACCCTTACTCCCTTTTAAATATCTTCCTCATCCATTGTCTTCAATTCTTCTTTCTTGTGTTTCAAAATTTTAGCCTTATTTTTAAAAAAATAATAAAAAGAAATCAAAAATTGCAGTAGATCCATCCATCCCACATTCTTGATTTTTCTAATTGAAGGAGCCAGATTGATGGAAAAAGTATCCATCTTTAAGCACTTGAAAACAAACCACATCTAGGTTGCATCGGGACAAGCATTCCTTAATAATAGGTCGCTAGCAAGAATCATCTTAACCCCTCATATTCCATGAGACTTATTTAACATAAGGGATCAACATCGAACACATCGTTAACCTCTCTGCGGACCTTATGTTTTGGAGTTTTGGTAGCCCACTTATCTCCCCACTACCTTCTATAGCCCAAAAAAGAAATTAATAGCTTGTTCCTAAAATCCTTTGATACTTAATCTTCACAACCTCCTTTCCAGGCAGTAGTGTCCAAGAACACACTGTGAGGCCTCAACCAAAAAAGCATCCCCAACCAGCAGATGACCCAACAACCTACCTCCATTTTCTCCTCTTTGCTCATACAATATCCTTTCTCCATGCCACCATCATTCCAACCTACAAACTGTCACTACTATCTACCACCGCCAACAACAAAACAGAATCTCCCCTCACTTCTAGACCAAGTAAAGAAGGAAAATTAGCTGAACCCATGGAAATTATTCCTTGGGGAAGGATAGACCTCCAGAAAACATAGAAAAGACAAATGCCTACTTGGGCTACCAGATCTAGGTGGGAAAGAGTAGTTGTGATGTAGCAAAGCAAAATAGGATTAGAATAATAGGAAATCTAAGAACATAAAAGACAAATGCAATCCACAATCACAAAAGTTGGCAACAAACACAATCATGGGTCATCACAACCATGATTACGAGGTTGTTAAGCATTCAAATCAGTGAAAGAAAATCTAAAGTTTTGTTCATAAACAGTCTCTTTAATAATGAACCACCCATGTATTTTAGGTTATTTAGACCACCAGGATCGCGTGGGAAAGAAGAGTCGTAATATAGCAAACATGATTAGAATAATAGAAAAATCTAAGAACATAAAAGATAAAACTGAATCTATACTCACAAAAAGTGGCAACCAACAGAATCGTAGCTTGTCACAACCGTAATTACAGGTTGTTAGGCACTTTATTCAATGAAAGAAAGTCAAAAATTTTCATTCATAAACAGTCTCTTTATAATGAACCACCCACGTATTATAGGTTGTTTACTTAGCCTATTATGACTAGAATCTTTAAATAGGAAAAAAATAACAAAATAAGACTTCTAAGCAAACAAAAAAATAAATTATTAAACTAACAATAAGTCTGTCTTAATAATTTCTAAAAAAGCTAATATCGTACATAAAAATTGTAGTCATATAAATATCACATAATCACAAATTTAA